GGGAAGGAGGAGGGGGAGAAGCGGCGGTGGATAAGGAGGAAGGGGAGAAGGGAGAAGCTTGGTGAGAGGGAGGAGGGGGGAGAAGCTGGTGAAGAATGAGGAAGGGGAGAAAGCTGATGGAGAAGGAGGAAGGGAGAAGGGAGAAGCTTGTGGAGGAGGAAGGGGAGAAGGAGAAGGTGGGGGTGGAGGAGGAAGGGGAAAAGCTGGTGGAGAAGCAGGAAGAGGAAAGAGGGGAAAGGGAGCTGGTGCAGGAAGAGGGGGAGAGGGAGAAAGCTCTGGTGGAGAAGGAGGAGGGAAGAATTTGTGGAGAGGAGGAGGGAGAGGAGAAGGGTGAGAAGGATGAGCTACATCCAGCTCCTCCCCCTCCTCCTTCTCCACCAGCTTCTCCCTTCTCCCCTTCCTCCTCCACCAGCTTCTCCCCCTCCTCCTTCTCCACCAGCTTCTCCCTTCTCCCCTTCCTCCTCCATCAGCTTCTCCCCCTCCTCCTTCTCCACCAGCTTCTCCCTTCTCCCCCTCCTCCTTCTCCACCAGCTGGTGTCTTAGCTGAAGTGGAAATCGCCATATTTGCGAATATATGCGAAGTGCGCATGCGCATACGCATCCTATATCATATATTTCGTAGGTCAGAAATTTCGCACACAAAGACGAGCTGTGATCTGTCGGGTCGGGACGCATACGAAGTGCGCATGCGCATACGCGTACGCATGCGCATACGCATCCTATATTTCGCAAGTCAGAAATTTCGCGCTACACCTGTCTTGCTAGTACTAATCAGTGGCGTATCCAGCATAGGGGCCGGGCGGAGCCGGTGTACGCCGTTGCAGACACAGAAAAAAATCAAAGGCACGGTTTTTTGCAGGCACAGTTCAAACTTCAAAAAAAATCTCTTTAGTAGCAGTGGGTCTTCAGAGGTAACGTCAGACTGAACGCCCGCCCTCCTGCTTCTGTTTGCGCCACAAGGACCTCCCTTTGCAAATGGATAAGGTGGTCAACATTTTCATCAGAAGGAAGCTTTGAAGGTTGCTATTGGCAAACCCCATGGTGGACGCTTAAAGGTCCTGAACACACAATCATGACCTGAACATCTCAGTGGTAATTATTAGTAGGCCTGACTTCTCACCCTGTTAGTAGTCACACTGACTTCTCACTCTGACCTGTGTACCAATCGGAGCTAATCATCAACATGATCAAGTGTGTTTCCTTTTTAGTGCCATTAAAGATGTTAACGGACTTATCAAGTTATATCTTGTGTTGCAATAAGCCAGTTCGTAGTTAGCCAAGGGGTTGTGTGACGTCACAAGTCACCGGGTCATTTGTGACAAAAATCTATGAAATCTCGATACGAATACGAGTGCGGCGTGCGCTCTCGATTCAGTACGTATATGTACATGTATTCTGTGTACGTGTACACGCACGCATGTGTACGTGCACACGCACACACGCACGCACGCACGTGTACGTGCACACGCATGCGCGCACGCACACACGCACGTGTAAGTGCACACGCAAGCACGCCCGCACGTGCACGTGCACACGCACGCACGTGTACAGGCACACGCACGCATGCACGCACGTGTATGTGCACACGCACGCACGCACGCACGCACGTGTACGTGTACGTGCACACGCACGCACGCACGCACGCCCGTGTACGTGCACACACACGCACGCACGCCCGTGTACGTGCACACGCACGCATGCACACACGCACGTCTACGTGCACACGCACGCACGCACGTTTATGTACACACGCACGCACGCACATGTACGTGCACACGCACGCACGCACGTGTACGTACACACGCACGCACGCACGCACGCACGTGTACGTGCTCACGCTCGCACGCACGCACGTGTACGTGCACACACGCGCACGCACGCACGCATGTGTACGTGCGCACGCACTCATGTGTACGTGCGCACGCACGCACGCCCGCAAGTGTACGTGCACACGCACGCACGCCCGCACGTGTACGTGCACACTCCCGCACGCCCGCACGTGTACGTGCACACGCACACACGCACGTGTAC